CGTATGAATATGCTAATGACTATGCTAATGGGAAAACCCAACGAAAAAGCAATGGCAAAAGCAAGTAAAAAGGGAAACTTTGAACAGAATGTAAAATGGAGGTGCTGCTTTCGGAGGTAGACCGGAGAAAAGCGGTGTTATTTGCAAGTTTGTTCTCCGGAATTAACAACAAAAGAAAAAAATAGAGTGGGAGAGTTTAGCTGATGCGGTTAACACAGTTGGGTCTGAACATTGCACTGAGTGCATTAAAAAAAGAAATAGTGTGGTTTATACACACTTGTTGCAGTACCCTTAGCAGTCTCTGTGGCGCACCTCGTAAGGCGCATGTGATCAAGTATTAACACGTTCGAGCATAAACTCTGCTCGAATCCAGCGTCTGGTGAACTCTTTCTTCTTTTTTTCCCCGCTAAATATCAGATTTTGCCCACTATTTATCACGAGAAAGACAAGTAGGAATCATCAATAAGTTTGTGCATCATATTTTATTTGCACATTTATTGAATGGAAATGTTTCTGATTCACGCATGCAAATTCATCTTCAGATAGTGTCTTTATAGCAATGTGCGTACAGTTATTGCTCAAATTATATTGGGAAAACAGGCGACCGCTGCAAATTGTGCTTTAATGTTTAGCTGGTCAACTGTATGGTATGGAAACCTTACATACCTACTAGATGAACCCGTCTCATACAGCTGCTATGCAAGGCTCAGACACTTTGTAGAGAGTAATTTAACACAACTGCCTCTAGGAGTCACCAATGGAAATAAAAAAGACACGCACAAAAAATGTACGTACGCCAGCCAGAAAGCTGCCGTGAAGCTGCGCACATTCCCACATTCAGTTCATTGTTAGTAAATCCAAACGTGAGCGATTCTGAGCGTGAAACCTGGCATACGCAAAGTTTTTGTGCTTACGCAGCGTTGATACATGAGGCCCCTGGTGTGGTGGTGTTCTGTGGTGGTCATGGCGGAGTGGGAAGCATGAGATTCCTGTAAGACCTCAGTGATAGACGAGTCTTCGCATTGATCCTGAAGGACCAGCCTGTACACCAGCTGGTGACCTCTCCCACCTGCAGTGTCTCTACGATGGACATCCAGTGTTTCCACCCTCCGGTGCCTAGACAGCAGCTCTGCACAAGAAGCTCTGCACTGATCTTGGTTTTTCCCAAGGTTTTTTTTCCTTTCACTTTCACCAATTGTTGAAGTTTGTTCCTTGCCACTGACTTGCAAGGTTTGGGACTTGTGGAGCTGTGCATCGATGGATTTGCTAAAACACTTTGTTTTATCTGCAGCACCACTGACTGTAAAATGCTTCCACACAGAACCTGAAGATTACTCTGTCAACAGTCTATTGTCTAAATTACCGCGCTAACAGAGCTAACGTTGCGTAAACAGAGCACCCGGTTGCAGACGTCCGATCAAACTCCGCTTCAACTCCGCTACAAGTTTATAAACTGCCTTTGGAACCCAATTAAGGTACAAAAATCTATTTAACAAAAATAATGATGCAGTGAAGTATTTTTTTCGCTCAGCCGAGCCTTCTGTCTGTTGCTGTGGAGAAGCGCCCTCCGACTTCTGACTAAGCGTCTCTCTCTCTCTCTCTCTCTCTCTCTCTCTCACTCACGCGGGCATGCACTGTGGTCTCATGAGGAAACGCTGCTTTTTGATGTAGTGTTTTTCTTGCTCCCGAATACAAATAATTTTTCAAGTATTTGTTCGAATTAAGTATTTGTAAAAACACGCTATTCGTGCCTTTCCAAATACCGTATTCGGGTTCGGCTCCACCCTTAATATATATATATATATATATATATATATATATATAAAGGATTAAAATATTACAAAACATATTATTTTCTAGCCTACATAAATATGAAAAACCACAGTTTTTTGCCTTCTTCATCTCGGGAGGCTTTTTCAGTTCATTCAAAACAATTTGCTTTTGTATAATGTTATTTTTATTAGCAGTATTATTTATTATATCCATATTTATATTTGTTTTATTAAAATCAAGCTTAGATTTGCCCCACCTGCAGGTTTTAGACCATATGGGGCACAGCATGTGTTTTAGGATATAACTCAGGTTTTTGAACAAACTTCGTTATTATTGTTCATTAGTTTGTTTGCTGTAAATTAGAACTGAATTTAGAAATAGTTTTGAAACAAATATTTGCGCTTAACAAACGAAATTAATTATTCATAGGCTAATTGATGTCTGTGCGTAAAGGTTTCCCTATCCAAGAGCGAAAGTGAAAGTAGATCGATTATCTCTCATTCTTGTGCGGTAGATGCTCTGTTTAACTGTTTTCTGTTAAAAAAAAAAAAACTTAACTGTTTGCTTGTGAAATGCTCAGTTTTTCCACTTCCACTTACTTTTTGCCCTGTAAATAGCAAATGCGCTTATGGCGTGACGCAGCTGGCTCTTAAAAAGAATGGGAGATGAGACTCTGATTGGTTTATTCTCAAAACACACCTATAACTCATTAAGAAAAAACTAAACCCTTTTAGACCATGCGCCACGGCGCAAAGCGGATTTTCTCGTCCTTAAATTAGCAAAAATGCATTCTGACACGCCCTGAAAGCGTTTGCGTCCTGCGCTTTGCACATGGACCATCAAAATAGAGCCCTAAAGGTGCAGTATGTAATATTGACACCCAGTGGTTGAAATAGATATTGCAATTCAATATCAAAACAATTGACTGTAACCACATGTGGCTTCATGTGACAAAAGGAATATTTTCTGTCTTGTCTTTGTTCAAACCATCATCACCTGAAATTTCTATTTTAGAAACTCTTTCTATTTCCCACGAATGACCAGCATAATTACTATGTTAGCGATCACCTCAGGTACTAATGTACCATTTTACATGACATTTATTGGCATATGAAAGCAGCAGCAGATCTCAGATCTTAAAAAAGTAAAAGGAACATTTGAAAATTTATGTTAACTGTGACACAGTGCTATCCAACAAATATAAGTCACTCAGCATTGTAGCATGAAATTAGCTCATTTTATGAATATTAATAATCAACAATAACGGTTTATTCTTAATTATTAATATTCCGGCTTAAGCTTCAGTCAGTTTGGTCAAACAAACATATGATTGTAAATGATCATGCTCGCGCGACCGAGCGGATTCCCAGATTATGAATATTAATTATCAACAATAACGAATTATTATTAATAATTAATATTCCGGATCAATTTATTGTCAATTTGACCAAACGAACACAAGCAGAGCCGCCGCTCTTCCGAGCGGACACTGTAATCTATTCATTTAGAAAAAGGGAATTTAATTGCTACTTCTTGTGAAGTAGATTAATCATTCAAAAGTTTTAAACAACTTATAATAGCTAGGCAGGGGAATCTGTATTTCAGTGACATTTTCTCGTGAGGCAAACAATACAATTCATTTGATTATAATGGAATTTATTGACTAGTCAGACGTAACGAACAAACAAACGCACAAACATACATTAAACACAAAACAAAGGTAAACCACGTGGAGATATCGGGTCTATAGAACGTGTAACAGCAAAGAGAAATAGTAAAGCTAGAAAATATAGATTTCAGATTAAAGAGTGACAAAACTTTCAGTTCCACACGCACCATTACGGACCACCAAGGTTATAAAAAACACCTTTTTGATAAGGGGCACAGCTTAATCGCATAACTAAAATCACCTGGTTTTTCATGTCTGGCGGTCTCTCTTATGCGTCTCTCTTCCGTCGTGATGAAACTACTCTTGATGTCCTTTGATGCGTGGAGTTTGTAATGCAGTTCGGACGAACACGATCGCAAACTTTAAACTGAATTTACTTTGCCGGAAAATAAAGAAAGCGTGGCGGGAAAAAGTCCATGCGGCTTAGAAAGCCACGTGTGGCCCGAGGGCCACCGTCAATGATGTTCCTTTTTGGGACGTTCTCTTTCTGCCCAGATGTTTGGGAGGGCAGAATGAGTTATACCTGCGGGTCACGTGACGACCCGTTCAGCATTCTGACCAATGATTTCAGGGGAAAGTTTGCGCGCGAACCTTCCTTTGTCTCTGGGCTGCGCGTATGCAAATTTGAGCGCTCGCCTAAAGCATGCGGACAGGCATTTAATACAGGGCTTTAAAGAATAAAACAATGCGAGTTATGGTCTCGATCTATGCATCATGTGTTATAAAATGTCGAGGGCATTCTATTGACACCAAACACTCTACAAGTACATCACATAGTTCCCATATCCTTACATCCTTGATGCTTTTAAAAAGGCCTGCAAGCGTGAATGTGTATAGTCTATATCAGGTATTGTACACATTACAAAAGTTAAATGAAATTAAACAAGAGATTTGGGTTATAAATGTCTTTGTTTAATTTTGAGGAATGTCTTGTCTGTGAGCAGAATGTTGGCTAAAGAGTTTTTTTTTCCTTTTCTTATCTTATCTGTCACGTTCTTTTGAAGTAGGCAGAGAGTGGTTCTGTAAAGTCTCCCAGACTTGTTAACATGTCACCAAGGGATTACCAAGCCAGACTTTTCGTCACCAAGTGATTTTATTGTCCTGGCGATTCACCCAGATTGTTTTCTGGAATGTTAAATGGAATGTTTATCTCCAGAATGCAGGTTACAATATGTTACAGCATGTACATTAAATAATGTTAAAGAGGTTTAATATGCATTAATTTGATTCTAAACATTACCAATTGTTTAAGTGTGGGGCACTATTATGTGCTTCTGAAGCCTGTAGCTTGTTTAAATGTTTCTGTCATTTTGCATCTGGTGCAGATAGTCAATATGCTTTTCACTGGAATCTTGTTGCATTTTATGTTTTTTTAAGAACATAGTGTTACAATGTAGAAAATGCTCAGCTAATGTTTACATTTCTAATATTTATATTATTTGAAAATGAGATATTGAGTAGATATTGGCCTGGTGACACCGATTCAATTAAATTATTTGTTGGGATTTTACTTAACTAAAAATGCTACCTTCTTACATGTTTCTTTTACTTGTAAGCCTTATCTAGCCATCATCGTCTTTTTTGTGTTTTTCTCAGGTTTAAGCAGAATGATATAACATTTTGGAGTAAATATACAAATTAACAGGCCATAACTGGAAGCCAAAATAGCAAAAATCTCTACAGCCACTGTGTACTTTCCTGGGGAGCTGATATATGCTGGCACAAATGCAGCCCACACAGCACAGAAAATAAACATGCTAAAAGTAATGAATTTAGCTTCGTTGAAATTGTCTGGAAGCTTTCTAGCAAAGAAAGCCAACAAGAAGCAGACAACTGCTAACATACCAATGTACCCCAGCACAAATACAAAGCCCACAACAGATCCCACAGTGCACTGCAGGATCAATCGAGCACCTAACTCCCCTGCACTCTCTGTGGGCTGAGGGGGATCCAGCAGTAGCCACAGCAAACATATGACAACCTGAACCAGCGTGCAAATGAAGATTGCTGCCCTCTGCTGGATGGGCCCAAAGTACTGCATCAAATGAGATCCAGGCCGAGTAGCTCGAAAAGCTACCAGCACCACCACAGTCTTACTGAGGATACAACCAATACAGGTAACAAAACTCACTCCAAATAAAGTGTGACGTAACATGCAGTTCCATGCTGCAGGCCGGCCAATAAAAACTAGAGCACACAAGAAACAAAGTGTGAGTGACATCAACAACAGGAAGCTCAGCTCTGAGTTGTAAGCTCGCACAAGTGGCGTGTCACGATGATGGAAAAAAGTTGCCAAAACAGTTGTAGTTAGTGTAGCCCCAGTGACAGATAAGACTGTCAGCACAATTCCCATGGTATCTTGTAAGGACAGAAATTCTACAACCTTTGGAATGCACTTAGTTTTTTCGGTGTTTGACCAGAACTTCTCAGGACATCTCATACACTCCGTAGAGTCTGAATGACACAGAAGAAGACATGATGCATGGTAAATGTGTTCCTAGTCAGAAGTGAATAGTAATTTTCATCTTGTAAACATTAATGTACAATGACAAATTTGTCACTAACTAGAAAATGTATGGTTTTATAAAGTTAACTAGTACCTGACATATTGCTGATTTCACCTGCTGCACAAGGGATACAGTCAAAACAGCAGATAGGTTTTCTTTTTTGTACAACCTTTCTAGTGCCTGGAAGACAGCTCACACTGCATACAGACACAGGGACCTGAATGATTGAGGAAGAAACTTCAAACTCCCAGCTACTTTTTTGAAAACTGTCAGCATATCAACTAAACAGTTAAAGTAAAACTAACTAGTAAAATAAGAGCAAAAAGAATTACAAAAAAAAACTAATTCAGATACAAAATCAAAGATTAATTTACAAGGCTCTCCATTCTTACAAAGATTTTTTAAATTGGTATTATATACTATATATGTTACTGTTAAAAATACTTTTGAATAGATTTACATTAAATCAATCAATAGGATATATATATATATATATATATATATATATATATATATATACACATCCTTTTAATAATATATATATATATGGTTGTAAAAGGCTGTATTTCATAAATAAGAACATTTTGGCAAAAAAAGTAGCCTGCTAAACGTTTTCAAGAGTTATGAGTTATGAGTAAATGTGCTTTAAAAATTATTTATTATGTGAAAATATAAAATGTACCTTACATCAGTCTCATTTTCTTGTAAGGGTTTTTCTAAGTGTGTTTGACATTGGACTATAAATGGACTATAATTTAAATATGTCAGATTAATTTATTGTGAAAACTCATATTTATTTATACATATAATAAGCTTACAAAAACCAGGTTGATCCATCTACATGGGAGTGAAATCTGTGTGACGTAAAGGGCAAAAAGCTAGCTGTGATGTGTAAATGTTTATCATCCACTTTGAACCTTAATTAACTAAGATTTCAGCAATTGGTACCTCCAACCAAGCTTGTGCTGCACTGCTAGAATAAATGCTATCTGTAAGTATAATAAATAATGTATTTAAAAATATAACATTCTGTATTGTTTAGTTATTGTTACAGATCATTTAGTAATTTTAATCATCATAAAGCAGACACATTTCATCTCCTCATCAGTGGCATGGAGTTTCTTTATTATTGTATGTAATGTTTTTGCATGTATTTGGACACTTTCACACTGCACATTTATAAAGTTGTCAAGTCTGTCTAACGTGATTTTTTTTATGCACAATTTAATTGGCTGGGTATATTGGACTGATTATTCTACTTTGCCAATCAGTATAGGCAGAAAAAAATAAGCATACCTCGATTAAGTAGTAACTGCAAGATTAAGAAATATAGTACTGTTAAATGCGCTAAACTCTTTCGTTTGGGAGCAGATTCATACCACTGAAATTCTATTTTCTGCCTGCTGATTTGCTTTTGCCTCTTTACCAAAATTTTAATAAAAATCCATGATGGAACTTAACAGATACATTAACAATAACAACATAGAAATGATAGTGCCCTGTCAAAAAAACAAACTGTTCAAAAAAAAATTTTTTCTGTGCACAATTTTTTTTCTTTATGTTCTTAACAATGGCTTAGCCAGTTTTAACTGCATCTAAAAATCATAAAAAAGTTTTTTTTTTTTTTTATCAAAAAAGAATAATTTCTTTTAACTGAAGTCTTACCTGGTTACCCCAGCCCCCTCCCCAAATCACTTTTTCAATGTTTATGTTCAGCTCCTGGCCTGGTCCTTTGGCTGCATCATACTGTCCCACCTGGACAAAATTTACTTCTCCACTTTTATTGACATACCAATTCATTATGTCATAAGATGCAGACGGCTCACCATTATTTTCAAAATAGACCAGCTCTCCCACTGGTGTTGTGAAGTTTACTGCATTTAGGTAGTGGAGAAGCTATGAGGCATAAATTATTAAAATAATAATAATATAAATTATATTTATAAGATAGTATTTCTACCTCTAAAACCAGTAAATTTTGATAAAATTAAACTAAATTTGGTTTTAATAGTAATTAAACTTTTAAGAATTCTCTAATATCTGTACCTGCCTTGGCTTTACTTGAGTTGCATCTGGACACTGTCCATTTTCAAAAGGGCCCCTACCCGGCAGGCAGGCAATCATGTTGTGAAGAGCATAGGCAATGGCATACACAGCCTTATACACATTGTAAGTGACTCTCAGCTGTGAAACGTCTGTGTAGATGCGGCCATGTTTTTCCACACTCTCTGATCCTGTGCACTTTGGTCTTTTAAATGAAGGCTGCCTGTCATGTGCTAAAGAGCACCTAAAAATTTCTTCCCATACATCTTTTACAAATGGTTCATTTGATTGCTTCACAGGATTCAGTTGGGTGAGAAAAGCACCAAGCCCCTTAATTTCAGCTCTGCGCAAAGCAAAGCCAATGGTACCAGCTAGGAGAGGAATGCTTTCTGGGTCAGAGTACTGAACAGTAGTGCTCCATGCCTCTGTTGCTATCCACTGCCTATTGGTCACATTCTGCACCACCATTTCTTTGAAAATAACTTCAAGGTCTGGCCCGATGGCAAATGTCACCACCACACTAGCTGTGGAACTCTGGATCCTCTCCATAATCTGCTTGATCCGGCTCTGAGAATGGGATTTAGGAATGACTTCAACATAGTCCACACAGACCCCTGAACCTTCGAGCTCTTTTAAAAGCAGGTGTGAGCCACTTTTGCCATATTCATCATCCCCTGCAACCACCCCCACCCAGTTCCAGTCTAGTAGATGAAGCAGACGGGCCATGGCCTTGGCCTGGAAGGCATCACTAGGGACAGTGCGTAGAAAAGTGTGAAATCTGTGCTTGTCACTGAGACAAGCACATGATGCAAAATAACTCACCTGGAAAACAAAACACAGATTTAATTGTTTTGGAAAGGCAAGCATTTTTTCATTTAAATAAACATTACATTTCAACATACCATAGGAATATCAAACACTCCCAGTGTGTCTGCCACCACCACTGAGGCAGAGGAACGAGCATCACCAATAATGACAGGAACCATTGGGGCTCCATTGCATTCGGTGCTAAACACTGTTGTTTCTTGCCCTGTTACCAGAGCTAAAGCAGCACTCAGTGTTGTACTCTCAGCTAAACAAGTATCAGCTACTAGGTAACCCAGAGTAACATTTGGTAGCAGGACAGGGTCCCTATTAATCTCATCCACAGTGAAGATCATAGCTCTGAGCCAGCGATATGATCGAAGGTCAATACTAATAAAATAAAATAAATAAATAAATAAAGTAACATTTAATGAGTGATGTTGGATTCAAAAAGGAAGTGTGTAGACAACAATACAAATAAAAGCCCTTAATATACTGTATGCATGTCACTAAAAATTATTGTCAACACCATTTAACACAAAAAGTTGGTCTACTACTCTTTAGCTTTTTTAAAGCAATTTATAACACAAACCTCAAGGTTGTTTTAACACATACACTACTCACCCCTGGCAGTTGGAACCATGCTGTTGTTGAGTAAAAGCAGGATCAGGCACTGGGGATTGAACATGAACTGGAAACAGACCACCAATAATCACATCGCCGTCTTTATACAAGCTTTCCGAGACAAAACTTTTCTTTAGACTACAGGTTGGGTTTGCATTACAAACCCTGACCATGCCAACAATAAATCCCACCAACCATAACCCTATAATAAAACCCATCATTTTACCTAAACACACACCACATACAGTGAGCAATAAAGAGCAGGCTAGTAATTTATCCTGCAAAGAAGATGGGTCAGAGGATAACTCCCCTTTTGTAGATTTGAATTTGCCTAGAGCAAAAAAGCACCCAAGAGGAAAACAGCATATTTGTGAGGGAAGAGGGAGGTGGAGAAATAAGAAAAAAATTACTTTAGAAATTAACTTTAGTAAATAACAAAACTAAATGTTGCAAATTTTTTTAAGCAAAAAACGATGTTTAAAAAAGCATTACACATGTGTGCTTATTGAGTGCAAAAACAATTATTTTTGTCAGCCCCTAAAACACATTTTTAGATGTTTACAGAGGATGCTGTATTCAGCCGACGGGGAAAATTTAGGCAATTACAGCAAATGGATCAAGCATGTTACATGCAGTCTTGTGTAAGTTACTGTCAAACTGTGCAAATGTATACTATAAACTATAGAAGATATCTTGTTACTGATATTCAAAATCATTAAATAATTTTCCTTAAAAAATACTGTATGGAGCTGTATGGTGGCCCAGTGGTTAGCATTGTTGCCCAGCTGAGAATACGGGCAGAAAGGGCATGAGAATAAGGTGAAAGGGCATCCACTGCCAAAAAGATAAGCCAAAGTTATTGGCAGTTTATTTCGCTGTAGTGATCCCAATTAAATCAGGGACTAAGCTGAATGATAATGTGAAATTGAATACTGTCTCAGAATTGGAATGTTTTACATTACTCCTGTAATACTTTTGAGTTACCTACACCAAAATAACTAGATAAGAAGGTGGCATATAATAAAAACATGGATATACCATTGCATGAATGAATAATGAAGAGTTCGGAACATGGAAATTACTATACAGCAAGCCCCTCTGTGTGTGTGTGTGTGTGTGTGTGTGTGTGTGTGTGTGTGTGTGTGTGTGTGTATGTGTGTGTGCAAATGCAGAACAGAACCAGAACATGATTTTATTAATAATTATTGATTTGCACTTATTGCACTTATTTCTGTTAGATTTGGGTTTAGTGTTAGAATTACGCCATATACCCTAACCTGATGGAAGCCTTCAGTATGTATGTCTTCACTAAAATAGGAAAACAAAGTGTTTGTATGGAATGAAAGAGCAGGCACTAAGCTGTAGAGCATCAAAGCAGAGCTGACTAATATTCAAATGCAAATATAGACCTTCTGATTCTATGGATATATTCTGGGGTCTGCTAAACATCAGAACACTTGCAACTAATAAGACAGAGTGCATTGAGAACATTGTCTGTCTAAGTTTCATTTACGTTCTCAGAAATAAAGGTACAAGAGCTGTCACTGGGGTGGTACCTTTTCAAAAGCCTTTCAAAATCATTTGTACCTAAAGGGTCAATATTAATACCTCAAGGGTACATATTAGCAGGGCCGCTGCTGGCCAAAAGGGTCCCCTAAGAGAAATTTTACTGTGGTGCCCCCACAGAGGAACAAAATCACACAAACATTCAAACATGTATTTATTTATTTATATACACAAATATGCATATAAACCCTCAAATTATACTTGAACGTTCAAATGTTTACATTACAAAATAATAGCTTACATCAAAATAAACACTGTCATATCTTCTGCAGAAACATAATTTCAAACATTTACAAAGGGTAAGGAATAAAACCCTCTATGTACCTGTAGAGATAGACGGTCCTCAGTGCTGCATCCTGTACCTGTGCAGTTGCTGGTGTCTCTGGAGTGGTGCTGGTCAGGCCACCTCATCTTCTTTTGTGACGAACTTCAGCATTGACCTCCATGAACAATACAGAAGAAATTAGTCATTGAAAAGAAGAAAGCTCATGACATACCATTAAAACAATAGGCTTGTCCAGCAATCTTCATAATGTGTCTAAACTACAACTAACATGTGGATTTAATTTGCACTGTAATATGGTGACAAAAGCTGACCCTTCCTTTCAGTATAAATCAAAGACATTTGTGGTTTTTAAGAATGAATTGGTGTATTTTTAAACAAAAAACTTTGTTAACATTTAGAAAAAAAAATCATTAATGTATTCATGCAAAAAAAAAAATGGTTTCTGGCCCTTGATTTACAGTAATTTGACTCATTTTATATTATTGATCTTCCAGAAATCATAGAATATAAGTCGGTTTTGTTATTTCATACTGTAATGCACAAAAAAAGACTAAAGAGACTTTATTGTCATTGCAGTGATACAAGCAATAACAGCAATAAGAAATGTATAGAAATAGAAAAAGCAATAAATAATTATAACTGCTGTCTGCAAAGAATTGTGCAGTGCATGTGTATGTAGCCAGTGTGCAAACAGAATTGTAAAGTATTGCACAAGTTAATAACACTAATTGAGTTTGTGTAATTAGCAGCAAAATGGGGAAGAGGGGCTAACGCGAAAAGTCATAGAACATGTCCTGTCTAAAGCACAATGCATAGCAGTTGTGGAGAAGTTTAAACGTTAGCCTCACTAATTTACTTGAACAACCAAAAATAAGTTTTCCAGATTCATGGAAGTTACCTGAAAGTGGTACACACGATTCATCTTGTACTTTTTTTCCTCTTCTCGGCTCCAGACTGCTGTTGTTTTTTTCCGTGCATAGAGCTGCAACTTGCATCTATTATAATTATATGCAGCTAGAAGCCGCAAAGATAAGTGGACCAGGCCACGCTGCGGCTATGCGCATGCACGAAAAATTACGTCACATGTTTGTTTATGTGTCTGCCTTAAAATGATTTTTTAAATGTGTTTAACAACATATTATCAATAGATGATTTATTTACATGCAGTTTATGTTGATATTAGTAAATAAATATCAAATTTTTTTTTCAAGCAGCAGAGATGGTGCCCCCCTCCGGAGTTGAGGCCCTACACAGCCTGCGTACTCTGCGTATAGGGAGCGGCGGTGCTGCATATTAGTGTCAAAAATGTACAAATGTTTACGCTTTGAAATGTTTAGGTACTAATAGAAATGTATAGAAGAAATGTATAAGGTACTGGTAGATTGAGGTACTGGTACCAGTACAGCTTATTCCCTTTAAGTACAAATGTGTCCCTTAAGAAAAGGTTACACCCCAGTGACAGCTCTTGTACCTTTATTTTCTAAAAGTGTAAATGAAATAACAATGTTCCCCTTCGGTTGGGGAACTTCAGTGCCATAGAGTGGATTAATTGAATCCACGAATGGGAGGATTCGGATCAGAAGCTGCTTGTCTGGAGAGTATTGAACGGGCCAATGAATGAAATTAATTGGCAACGTAAGCTTGCGCAGGTGTGCGGCATCGGCAATTATCCCAGCATATAAGCACACCTGAAGCTAGCAAACGCCATCCTTTTAGCTTCAGATCCTTTCTGAGTGAGTCGATGAGGGTTCCTCTTGCTGTTCAGCACTTCAGAGCGAACGAGTGTGTCTCCCGGTCCAGAGTGGGTCTTCGCGGTGGCAGACGGTCGAGCTGGGTTTCTCCCTTGCCTGCGGTTCTTTGGATCCGGTCCTCCAGAGCGGTGCTTATTGTTGCAAACTTTCCTAAAAGAGCAACACAGTCGTGCAGCACGTCCTTTTCAGGATGGCGCTCCGACTGTGCGTTTCTGGATGCGGGGGTTTCCTGGCTCCGGATGATGGACACGATCACTGCATTGCATGTTTGGGGGTCCAGCATGTTAATGCGGTGCTCGCAGGCGGTTCATGTCGTCATTACGATGCCATGACCGTTGCACAGCTAAGATCGCGGCTAACTTTCGCAAGAGAGCGAGCCACCCCAGTTGCCTCCTGTTCTAAAAAAGCAGCGGGCGCTCGGGCAGATCTGAGGATTCCAGCGGGAGATAATCCGCCGCCCACGGGCTCGCGGACCTCTCGCTCCTCACGGCGCTCCATCCAAGCTTCGGGTAGTGGGAGTGATCCGTCTAACCAGATGGTAGCTCTCAAACTCGCTGACACCGGAGATCAGATGTCCTCCGCGGCATCGGAGGGTGGGCTTTCACTGTCCGACGAAGATCCGGACCCGCTCGCCCCCTCCGGGCAGGTGAGCGCTGTCTAATCGGATCCTGAAGCGGACATGAAAGCCGTGCTTTCCCGGGCTGCTTCGGCCGTGGGGTTGGAGATGGTTTATCCCCCAGCTCCGCGGCTGGGCCGACTAGATGGGTGCTGCGTAGAGGACGAGAAGGCGAAGCCTTCGAAGCCTCTCGTCCCCTTCTTCCCGGAAGTGCACAGTAGGCTCACGCAGTCTTGGAGGGCACCTTTCTCTGCCCGTGCTGCGTGTACCTCCGCCCTCACCGCCCTTGACGGCGGAGCTGCCAGGGGGTATGAGGCGATCCCGTCAGTGGAGCGCGCTATCGCGGTCAATCTTTGTCCACTCAGCACCTCTACGTGGCGGGGTTTGCCCCGCCTCCCGTCCAAAGCCTGTAGGTTGTCTGCCTCCCTCGGAGCCAGAGCTTATAAGGCTGCGGGCCAGGCTGCTTCTGCTTTGCACGCGATGGCCACCTACCAGCGCTACCAAGCGCAGGCGCTGGCCGAGCTGCACGAGGGCGGGTCCAACCCAAGCTTATTACATGAGCTGCGCACCGCGACCGACTATGCTCTTCGGACTACTAAGTCCGCCGCGTGTGCGCTGGGGAGGACGATGTCCACACTTGTGGTTCAGGAACGCCACCTCTGGCTAAACGGTACTCTTCAGTGCCACCAAAACATCAGTAAAAGAGCACTTTTCCCCTTCCCCGGATGTGACTGCACGAGTTCTGCCAGTCCGGGACGCGCTGCCTTCCGGCTCGCAGACTCTACGTGCTTCGCCAGTGGCTCACGAGCGCTGGGGGGACGGTCTCCCTTCCCTCAGCCCTCCAGCCCCCTCTTCGGAGTCAGGGTGCGGAGCCAGAGCGAATCGCTCTTCTCCAGCTCTTCCGCGGGACCCTTGTGCTTCCCGGATCAGCACACCCACTCCGCGCTGCCCCAC